CTAAAAAAAAACAAAAAAAAAAAAAAAAAAAAAAAAAAAAAAAAAAAAAAAACTTAAGCTTGTTTTATTTCAGCTAGTTTTAAAAGAAACATTTCTCATTTTCATTTAGTTTAACTTGATGTACTAAAATAACTAATAACTGAAATAAAAATGATCAAAAATATATAGACATTAAAAAAGCAAAAACTAATAAAAAGACAAAAATAGTTACATTTTAATTAATATGAAAATGAAGCAGAAAATGAACATAAAATACAAAAATAAAAACGAATTCAAAATATGAATAAAATCGATATTATAAAACGGAGAGTTCCGGTCCTTGGTTCTGATTGGCTGAGCCGCGTTCGAAGCTGTTGTAAATGACTCTACAAAGTAACACACACCTTTGTTTACTTCTGTGTGTTGCTCGGCAACCACTTTGTTGCAACCACAACTGTTTCTGAGGAGCTACATTGTTTGGTGGAAGAATACTGTTTTTATTAATATCATCACACAACTGATTCGTGTGGCCTGGTGTGCATCATTCCTAAAGCAGACGCTCTCAGCAGGCTTATCACTCAAACTGTCCGTCTGATGCTGTTTATGAAGGACGTTACTGACATTTAAATCACAGCTTCACTTACTTTGGGTAGTTTGTACAGTACTGCGTGTAGATCTCAAAATACTCGCTCTGCAATGGAAAGGAGAGAAAATGATTCAGTATTATAAAGGAACATCCTGAACGGCATATTTATGACCCTGGGCCACAAAACCAGTCATAAAGGTCATAAAGTCATATAAAATGCATACATCATGAATAAATAATCTTTCCATTGATGTAAGAGACTCAACTATGCAATTTGCTGCAGATGCTGATATTTATATGATGAAATTCTGCTGCTTGTAATGTAAATCAATGAGATCTTTATAACAGTACAGCAGATACTGACATAAACTGATCTAAATATCAGTGGTCACTCTATATCTCCAGTCTTAGTAAGATGAGATTGAAATGCTCCAAACATATAATGCAATGCTGATTGAGAGCTGAAGAAATAAAGGCTCCTCAGAAGATGTATAATTTTGACCCATACAATGTATTGTTGGCTATTGCTACAAATATACCCCAGCGACTTAAGACTCCAGGGTCATATTTAGTTTAAGTTAGTATTTAGTACCTTGTCCACAAAGCAGCGTGCGATGGACACAGGATCACTGGCACACATGTCTAAAGACTGTAATAACTCACTGCAAAGAGAATATAAAACATTAGCATTTGGTAATGGTGACCATAAGCAAACTTTAATAAAGAGGAAATAATCAAAAAATAATAAAAAAAGAACCGAGTTGACTGATAAATGAAGATTTCAGAATGCATTTAACCCTGTAATGCCTGACATACTGTATTAAATAATAGTCAGAAAAATGATTTGACTCGTGAAGCTCCAGCTGAAGCTGGACATTTGTACAATTACTCTAAAAGAGCTTTGACTGGATAAAAACACTAAAATATCAATCAGAGACAGAAGACATGGAGTAGATTGAGTGTGACATTGAACAGCAAAGCTTGATCATTTAGAGGCCTTAGAAATTCAGTAGTCTTTATAGGGTTAATAATGCATTAACATTTATTCACTGCAAAAAGCTTAACTTGTTGAACACATAACATTCCTTTTAATGATGTAAAAAGACTGAAAATGATAAAGCCAGACGCTCAAACATGCGTTTGGTTCTGAGTGATGATAAACACATGTGAAGTTTCACAATGACCTTCTGTCAGACATCAGACACAGAAAGAGGAAGTCTGGAAATGAACAGAGCAAATGCAAATCTCACACTGTGGACTCAAAGCAACACACCTGCTCAGATAAACGGTTCGCTTCGGTTCGTTGTGTATTGTTCATCTTTGATGCATGTAAAAGTCATTTACAGAACAGAAGCCGGTTAAATGAGGTGCATTAAAGTTTGTTTGTGTTAATAATAAGATAACTGTTTTATACAGATAAAAGACAAAAAGTGAAGGCTGACCGTTTAAACAACTGATGTGAACTATTAAAACTGGTTTAAGTTGACCACCAAAGTGACTTAAATACAAACAAAACTTTTAAAGAACTTTTCATAAATACTGGATTATATTATCATTGCATCAGTGTCTCTGCAATGGATGCTCTGCAGTGAATGGGTGCCGTCAGAATGAGAGTCCAAACAGCTGATAAAAACATCACAATAATCCACAAGTAATCTACAGCACTCCAGTCCATCAGTTAACATCTGGAGAAGACAAAAGCTGAAACAAATCATCACGACGTTTTTAACTTCAAACTGTTATTTCCAGCTAAAATACCATAATCCATAATAACGCTTCCTCCAGTGAAAAAGTG